CATTGGGAGTGTGGGCAGTGGGAGCGAACGGGAAGGGGTTTGGGTCCGTTGGGAATGTGGGCGGTGGGGGTGAACGGGAAGGGGTTTGGGTCCATTGGGAATGTGGGCGGTGGGGGCGAACGGGAAGGGGTTTGGGTCCATTGGGAGTGTGGGCGGTGGGGGTGAACGGGAAGGGGTTTGGGTCCATTGGGAGTGTGGGCAGTGGGAGCGAACGGGAAGGGGTTTGGGTCCATTGGGAGTGTGGGCGGTGGGGGTGAACGGGAAGGGGTTGGTGTCCATTGGGAGTGTGGGCAGTGGGAGCGAACGGGAAGGGGTTTGGGTCCATTGGGAGTGTGGGCGGTGGGAGCGAACGGGAAGGGGTTGGGGTCATTTGGGAATGTGGTCGGTGGGAGCGAACGGGAAGGGGTTTGGGTCCATTGGGAATGTGGGCGGTGGGGGCGAACGGGAAGGGGTTTGGGTCCATTGGGAATGTGGGCGGTGGGGGTGAACGGGAAGGGGTTTGGGTCCGTTGGGAATGTGGGGAGCTGTCCTGACCTGTCTGTGCGTTGCCTACAGGATGCAGTTTGACCGAGTGTATGATGCCCCTGAGACACCTTCTCCTGAACCAGCAGCACACCGGCCTTCCCTCACCAAGGTCAGTACGCTGGACCGGCTCATCTTCACCCATTCCGTGTGGCTACAGCTCAGCATGAACTCCGCCACTTCGCTCCACATTCTGCAGCGGGAGAGCCCAGGGGTTAGTATCCGTGTACCCCCCACCCCTTCTCCTCTTCAACCCCATCCTTCACCACCCCCACATCCACCCCACTGACCACCCGCACCCCCCCATCCTCCTCCCACCCCATGGACAACTACCCCCTGCCCCCTGATGGAGCTCAGTTGGCAGGCTTGTCTTCCTTTCACCGACTTGGCCCCACTTCGCAATAACCGGGCTGCTCTACTGCAGCGGGCACCGCAGTCCCACCCCAGTTCCCCTGTTTCTCGCTCTTCCGCACACAGTTGGGACCCAGGTCGGATGTTATGTTCTTACAGGGAATGCCGCAGTGTGGCCAAATGACACAGTTCGGGCACCTGGGATCTTCCTGTGCTCTCTGTGAAATCCCTGAACAGCAACCATTTCCGACCGTCTGAAGCTGGTTTCTGAGTGGGGCCATCGTCGTGGAGGCGGAAAGCATGTGGGATCCACTGTTTGTTTTATAATCAGCAAAACATAAATCCTTTCAATTCCCAAAGTAATCTTTACAACATTCCCTGTGATTGAGGAGTGAGTGTGGAATTTGTGGACAGCACTGACACCTTGTGGACAGAGTTTGCGCAGCAGCTCAATCATCTCTCGATGCCCTCCTGGATTTCCTCCTTCTGCCCCAGAATAGCAATCGAGTCCTTTGGTTGTTTGAACTGAAGCCTCCTCCTAAAGAGCAGGACTGCGCACCTTCTTCATTTTTGTCTCTATTTTTCATTGCAGAGGATTGCTGCTTTTTTTATCCCCTCCACAGTGAGTAAGATGCCCGTTAGATCATAGAATCCCTACAGTGTGGAAACAGGGCCTTCGGCCCAACAAGTCCACACCGAACCTCACATCGTCCCACCCAGACCCATCCCCCTATAATCCACCCTAACCTGCACATCCCTGGGCACTATGGGACAATTTAGCACGGCCAAT